TGTGTGTGTGTGTGTGTGTGTGTGTGTGTGTGTGTGTGTGTGTGTTGAAGAGGAGAGAGAGAGAGAGAGAGAGAGAGAGAGAGAGAGAGAGAGAGAGAGAGAGAGAGAGAGAGAGAGAGCAGGACAGATAGACTAAGGCCCAGAGTAGTAAGGACTTACCAGGAATCACACAGTGGAGACACAGGACTAAAGCCAGATCTCACTGGAGAGACTTTAAAATCCCGAGTTCAGACCCTCTGGTGCAGATAGAGTGATCCTGTGAGTTAAACTCCTGACTCTGCCACGGACTATGGCTTAATTACTTTGGGAAGTTAGATTCCCAACAGTGAAAGGCGGATACGACCTCTTTTTGGGGGTTATTGTGAAGATTAAAAAGCAGCGGAGTGCTTGGCATATGGTAAGTGTTCGGTGTCAGCTGGAGACCTGGCAGAAGCAATAGTCGGTGCCCCTCCTCTCCCTGTTTCCAGAGTCTCCTGTAGCTCAGGCTGCCTTTCAACTCTCGAACCTCATGTCTACACACCAAGTGCTGGGATTACAAGCGTGTGCCTGTATTCTCTTTTCCCACGTGTAAACCAGGACCAACAATCCCTGTCCTGTCACTTCTCTGCCCCGTTCCGGTAGCAACGTGGACTGAATAAGGTGTGTAAACGTTCTGGGGCTGAGCGCTCTCCAGGTCAATGTTTATTCAGCTTCGAGCAATTTCTTTCCAAGGCCTACTCTGGCCAGATTTCCCGTCAGCCCCACCAACTCCCGCACACTCGCAGGTGCTCTTTTGTAACTGCGGCAAGGGAAAGGTCCGCTCAAGCCCAGCGGAAAAAAGGAGAGCTGGGAAAATAGAAAACGTGTAGGGATGAGACGAGACAGAGGGAGAGCAGACAAGAGAGGCAGTGTGGGGAAGAGGAGCAAAGGACAAGGAGAGGGGTAAAAGGGACTTACAGATGGAGCGTAGAGGGGGTGGGGGTGGGGTCCTCCTGTACCTAAGGTGCAGGCGAAGGGATGTGCGGAGCCCTGGGGCAAGTGAAAGAGCAAGGTTATGTGCAGAAAGAGCCGCGAGATCGGATCCCTGCAGAAGAACGGGGGTGGGGTGGGGTCGTCTTCGTTGCGAGGTCCTTGGGTGACTGGGGGCAGGGAACTTGGGCCGTCACCGTCACCTCCACTCGGCCCGAGGTTCGGAGCGCCGATCCCGGGCTGCAGCCACCCGCGGGCGAACCGCGGAGGGGCGGGAGGAGGGGGGGGGGAAAAGAACATTCGACGCCTGCGATTGGCCGCCGCTCCGACGGCCGCTGACGCGAGCGGGCGGGCCCCTTTGTGACGTCACAATCAGCTGTTGGAGCGTTCGGATTTGTGCCCTGAGCCCCGGCGCAGCGGCCGCAGCAGCTCCGGGCGTCCGATCGCGAGCCCCGCCGTCTCCCGGCCAGTCCCCGGTATGCGGCGCCGGCTGTGAGCACCGGCGCCCCGGGGACGCCCGGCCGCACAACTACCTCAGCGCACCGGTTGCCGCAGCCGCCCCAGGTGAGTCCCGATCGCGGGGCTGGGGGCTCCGGGCGCCCCAGGACACGCCCTGCGCCCCCCTCTCCGGTTCTTTGTCTGTCTCCGCCGGCGGCCGCTGGAGCTGCGTTCTCGGCTCCCTATTGGTTGCCCCAAGCCGGTGGGCCATGACGTCGCTTATTTGCATATGACATTGAGACGTCACCAAGGCCAGCCCCGCCTTCCAGGCTTGCTTGGGTGCTTGTCCTCTGCTGACCCGGTGGGCTCAGTGTCGAGCCCGGCTGAGGGTTGAGAGACGTTGAAAGGCAAGCGGGACCCGAGGGGACTCAGCGGTTTCCGTGTTAATCTAGGGACTGGGGTCGGGCCTCTCATCTGCTTTTTTCTTGCGACCTGAGGAAGGGTCGGAGGGCATGCACGATCTAAGTTGAGAGGGTGGTAGGTGGATGAAGGAGGCTTCAGACTCCAGGTCCCTGAGACAGCACCAGATGGCAGCGGATGCCCTCTGTCTTCAGGCTCCGCCTCCAACATAATAACATCCTTCTAATCCCCGACATGTGTGCAGAGCCTTAGTTGATGTCATGTTCAGCCTACAAATATTGAGGGTCTTAAACCCCACTTCATGGAAGGTGAAACTGAGACCCAGAGAGACATAGCTTACTGGAGATCTCAGCCAATTAGAGTTACACTCAATGAGTGACAGGACAGGTTCCTTAGCTGTGGGCAAACGCATAGTACAAGCTCAGTTCAAATAAAAAACTATATATCCATTTACTGGGGACCCTGTCTTGGGCTCAGCACCATACCAGTTTGACAGGGTGTTTCAGTCTTCTCGATTCTGGGCATTTTCCCAGGAGGTCTCTGAAGATTGGGTCCCTTTCAAGGCCCTGACCACCTCTGCATTCTCTCTACCTTAGAACCCAATAAATTGCTGTCTCCCAGCTGTTTTGACCACAGAAAGGTGAGTCACTAGTTGCCTGCCTCCAGGTGTCTCCAGGGCAGATGTTGTTGAGAATGAGTTGGGAGTTCCCTCTGTTAGCCTCTCATCACCTTGTAGATCCAAGCTGTCAGCAAAGAGGAACCCAGACCTCCCCTAGCACTGGTGATTGCAGAGTTTATGCAGCAGAAAAGAATGTTTCTTACTTTCCAAGTGAGTAGTAGATACGGAGGCTGGATCTGGAGCCTCTTCCCGGACTGGGGTTTGTTCAAGAATGGCCTGGGCTAGGGGTGGCTTAGGGCTCCAGTGCTATTCTGGGCACAGCTGCTGTAGTATTAAGGGAAGGTTCTTCTTGGATCGGAGCCAAGAATCTGAGAACCAGGAAGCCAGCAGGCTAGAAAAGAAAACCCAGGAGACTCTCCTAGTGGTCAAGGGGGAGAGGGGTGGACTGCCATAGCTGGCTGTCACCGACTCCTGTATGATCTCCGCCAGGGAGCTTCTCTGCTGTGCCTCTCTTACCTCACTCAACATGTCCACAGTTGAGGCTCATTGCACGGTCTGATACAGTGGGAACTCTGGGAAATGCATGTTAAAGCTCGATGCCAGATCTCCGCATCTCTCTCTGGAAAGGCAGAAGGGTGATGGCTGTATCAAGACACTTGTCTGATCTCCCTGTCTCCTGTGCATCCTTATATTCTTGGATAGTCTCTCTTGAGGCTTTTCTGATTATATATGTTCTGCACTGCCCCACCACCACGAAGCTGTAGCTTTTTGGATAGATTAATGTTATCACTTCAAGGTCTCCATTCCTAGAACAGGAGACTTCTTCCTTGTCTTGGTCCAGGGAAGGATTGTCTGAAGGCTTGGATCTCGGTTCAACCTTTGCATTTATCCTTAAGGGCTCCTTGGATCTGACTGCTTCCTTTTTCCATCATCATCTACCACTGACAGGTGGTTTTACGAGGGCCAGGCGACCCAATATTCTCTGTTGTGGCCAGAGATGGCTGTCCTTGAACAAGAGTCTGGGGGGAGGGGGTTAGAGTTGGGAGGACCTGTGGACATAGGATCTTACACCTCAACTGGAATACCTATCTGTGGGTTGCCCAATCCCATGGTGAGGTTGTAGCAAGAACTATGAGGTTCCTATTATCTCGCACTTTTCAAACCACACAGGGTCCTTATACCTGTTCTTGGTCTCTGGGGTCACAGATTGCTGCTTAGAAAATCTTGCTGAAATCCAAGATCATTTTCCTATAAAAACACACCTAGACACAGCCCTAGTTACCAAGTTTAACATGTCTAATCTAGGCAGATGCCCAGAAAAGACAGGAATGGACTGTAGTGATTATGGATGCCACTAGCTCTTTGGAGTCAAATACTACCTGTGTCTTTTACTAGCTGTGGGACTTTGGACTTACCTCTCTGAGCCTTGTTTTATTTCATTCTTTACCAGAAAAAAAAAGGAGTAGTTATTCTCTCTCCCTGCTCACTTTGTTCCTTTTGGCGGGATCTCATATAGCCAAGGACTGTTTATTTATTTTTTAGGTAGGGTCCCATGTAGCTCAGACTGGCCTTAAACTCCCTCTGTAGCCAAAGCAGGACTTGAATCCTCTTGCCTCCACCTTGCTAGGATCATCATGTCTGACTTTGAGCTTTTTGATCCTCTTGTCTCTAGCTCCCAAGTACTAAGACTACAGGCTTGCACCCTCATACCTTGCTCTGGTTCTGTTTTGTTGTGAGGACTACAGAAGGTAAAATAGATGAAGTTGCTTAGTCTAGTACCTGGCACACGAGTGTTAATTTTATGATGATAATAGTAAGGGCAGGTTCTTCCCTCAATGGAAATTTCCTGTTTACTTTTCAAAGCCCAACTTGGCTGTTTCATCCTCTAGAGACCTTCCCTGGCAAAGCTTGGTCACAGATATCACTTCTTCCATATCCCCGAAGTAACCTGTAGTAATGGCAAGTTTATTGACTTATTGGATGCTTACTGTGTGCCCAGGCACTGTTCTGGACACGTCTTAAGTGTTTATTTAGCTCATTTAATTTTTTATTAGGGTGTCACTGTTGTTTGACAGATAAGAAAACAAAGACACAACAGTTTCCTAAATTCACACTGGAAAGCCTACTGAGTGCAGAGGGGCACACATCAGAGGCTTGTTTCTCCATTATCACTGCTGTGGGTGCTGGGGGGCTGGAGGCCTCTGTCCCCCAGTCACCCAAGGGTAGACTTTAGACTGTGGTTCTAATGGCTTTCTATGCTTCCCAGGTTTTTGCACTGCCATAGGGCGCCCCCTTGAGGTTGCTTCACCTGCTGACCATGTTCCAGCGCTTCACCAGCCTTTTCTTCAGCACCCCTTCGCCTCCTGAAGACTCCAACTGTCCCGAGGCCTTCGTCTCAGAGGAGGATGAAGTGGATGGCTGGCTCATCATTGACCTGCAGGGTGAGGCCTGATTCGGGGGCAAGCACTCTGATTCCCGAGCCTATGACGGCACCATAAGGACAGGAAGTCCTGCAATATGGAGGGGGATATTTGGGAACTGGAGTCCCCTAGGCCTCCTGGGCAGAGTGAAGTTGAGGTAGTGAGCCTTGAGGTGAGGTGACTTAGACCCTTCTCCTGAAAGCCCTGTCTCCTGATTTGTTGGGGCATACACCTGGGACCCCCTAGGGCGGCAGGGTAAGGACCCTGGCCCTCAGGTGCTCTCTGGGCACGATGGACAGGGTTACAGGTCTGACTAACGATGCCCTTTCTCTCCCCATCCCCCGTGTCCGGTATGTGTGTGTGTGTCCCACCCCCCCACCCCCCGCTGCTCCCTTTGCTCCGCATGGCTCCCCACTCCCAAACCCTATAGATAGCTACACAGCTCCCCCAAACCCTGGGGCCTCTCCAGCTCCTGCAGGCCGCCCTCCACCCGCGCCCTCCTTGATGGACGAGAGCTGGTTTGTTACCCCTCCCGCCTGTTTTACTGCAGAGGGGCCCGGTCTTGGGCCGGCCCGCCTCCAGAGCAACCCCCTGGAGGACCTCCTCATTGAGCACCCCAGCATGTCCGTTTATGTCACCGGCAGCACCATAGTGCTCGAGTCTGGGCCACCTTCCCCTCCTCCTGACGCTGCCTTGCCCGATCAGGACCTCAGCGATGGGTGAGTGGATTGAGGGTAGAGACTGGAGGCTAGCGGCTTAGGAGCCTGCAGGGCAGTGAGTGTCCTTGAGACAGGGTGGACCAGGTGGGTAGTCACGGTGATCACTGATGGAAGAGAGGCGTGGTCTTGTGGCTAAGGTGGGGCTTGGGAGAGCGAGTCTTGGCTCAGAAGATGGGGACTAGCTTGAACTGCTAGGCCAGAGCGCAGAATGGGGCTTGTATTGAATGGCGGTTGGCGCTCCGGCCCTTTCCTGTCTAGTTTAGCTGCCTCAGGGGCTGGAGTCTAAGAAACATCTCTAACTGGGATTGACAGAAGAGTTGGTACCCATCAGAGAGCATCATGCACCCTGGCCCGAAGAGACAGGGTAGGAGATGCCAGCCCCCTGTCCCCCCTGACGTTTGTACTCTGTCCCAGCAGAGAGTTGGCGCCTGCTCGCCGGGAGCCCAGGGCCCTGCACCACGCAGCTGCTGCTGTGCCGGCGGCGCGAGCTGTGTTGCTGGAGAAGGCCGGCCAGGTACGGAGGCTGCAGAGGGCCCGGCAGCGGGTAGAGCGCCACGCCTTGAGTGCTAAAGTGCTACAGCGGCAGAATCGCGCTCGGGAGAGTCGTTCGCGCCGGCCCAAGCACCAGGGCAGCTTCATTTACCAGCCGTGCCAGCGCCAGTTCAACTACTGAGCGCCCCTGCTACACCTCCAGTCCCGCGCAGACTCCCGGCCCCATCTGTCTCCTCTGCAGCAGCCAGTGTGCTGCTCGAGGGGTGCCCAGGGTCCGCCTGCCTCCATCTGGATACCACAACCTCCCTCCTTCCTAAGTGTTTGAGGTGGGATGATGGCCCTCTACTCCCCTGATTTCTCAGTTTCTTCTAACTCACCTGCTGACCTCTTTCACCGCGGGTCACCCTCCCCACCTGTTTCTGATTTCTCACCATCACACTCCCCACTCCTGATCTCCCATGCTTCCTTTCAGACCCCCTGTTCTTGTCTCTCACCCCTTCACTTTGTCCTCCTAGCCCACCGATTTCTAAGAGCCTCTCCCACCATGACCTGGCACCACGATTCTCCACTTTCAGCCCCTCCTTTCCAAGACTTCCCTTTTTCATTCCCGGCAATTCCCTCCCAACCCTGACCAGGTACAACCTGCCAGGCCTGGGCCATTGTTCTTACAGCCCTGTGGTCAGGTGTCAGGCACAGGGTTTTGATTTCAGTCATCCCCGCCCACCCGCCCGCCCTGGGGGTTGAGCTCCTTGGACTGCTTAGGCCTGGAAAGTTTGAGTATGTGGAGGAGGACAGTGAGTTGTAAGGTAGATAGGGTGAAGGGAATGAATGGAAGGAAACAGGCAGCCTATCGGGATGCAGACAGGGACAGATGGGTGGAGAAACAGTTGGGAGCAGGGCATCATGAGAGCTGGCATTGTGCTTGGTCAGAGGAGTTAAGCCCTGGTCTTAGGCTTGAGCCTGGAGCCTGCCCCCATTTCCTTGTCCTATAATCCTGCCCTCCAGGATTTTTCCTGAAATCTGTCCCCCTTCAGGAGTAAAACCCCCCACCTCCCGGTGAGTCTAGAGTCCGAAGGGCTTGTACCTTGTCACCTTACCTTGACATGCCACCCCAGGAGTAGAAGCTGGGTAAGGCCCCCGACATTCTGGTCATCTTTGTTCATATGCCCAAGGTGCTAGAATTAGCTTAGGAGAGACGCCGGCCAGAGGGCTTCCAGGCAGGGAAAAGGGTACAAACCCCAAGGCAAGAATGCAGAGGGATGATGCTAAGGAGGACAAGTTTGGGGTAAAGCCATCCCTAGGCTGATAGCTCTGCCTTCATCTTGCCTCTGGCCTTATATTTCATACTTTGCTCAATATGTCTGGCTAATAAACACTCCTGGGTAGGAGGCCAGGAGCCTCACTGTTCCAATTCCCAAAATTTTTCTTAGAGAAGTTCAGGGCCTTCAAGGGACTTCTTAATGTTCTCCCACAGGGCTCTTCCTTTCCGAGTGCCCTGTGGTCTCTCTTCCCTTTCTAGTTAAATATCTGGAGTAAGGAATTCTTGGGCAGAGCACAGGGATGGGGTAGCCAGCTTCTCCCTTCTTGTGGTGGGGCTCAGACACCAGCATCAGCCTCTTGGGATGCCCCAAGTTGTTTCCAATTCTTTCTAGCTGTCCTTTTTTAAGTGTGTGCTCTTCCTTCCTCAAAACTTTTAGATTTCCTGTTACATATTAACACAGGTCTTCCCTTTCACTCCAACTCCAGGTTTCCAGGCCTCAGAGCCATGTCGGGGTTGGAGAAAACTGCATTCCTATGAGGGTAAAAGTAGCTGCCCTCTCTGATCCTTTCTCACCAGGCTTCACGTGGGGATGGGAGAGGATGTCCCCAGGATGGGGACAGAGGAAGCCCTGCTAGGGTCTCCTAGCTCAAGGATAAGCCAAACGCAAACTATACGCTGATCAAAACCTCACACCAGCTTATCAGGGCCCTAGTAGTTGATAACCTTGTTCCTGTCCCAAGCTCTTCAGTTACAACTTAGTAACTTCCTCTTCCTGCTCTCCTAAGGTCACTTCCCAGCCAGCTTAGGATCTTCAGCACTTCCAAGAGCTGAAACTCCCTCCAGCCCTTCTTATCTAATCCTCACTGCCAGATGGGGGCCTAGGCTCAGTGCTGGGCAAGTGCCCATGATCCAGATGGGGGCCTAGGCTCAGTCCTGGGCAAGTGCCCATGATCCTGCTGCCGTGGGAAGTTTGATAGGGCATTTGGCTCAAATTTCAAAAGGCCCCACTCCTGACCTGTATTTCTAGAAGCTCCTGTAGTTCTAGAACCCTCCAATCTCTCATCTGACTGGTTGCAAGGCTTATTTTTCTTTTGTACTTTCCTATAGATTCTGTAGCATTTGAGTGTGGCAATATTTTAATTGTGTATAGATTTCTCAGTCTCCTGCTAGTCTGACTCCTGAAGCATCAGCCCCTGTCATACTGTATTGACTGTGTATGTGCCTTTCACCTTGAGCATGCTTCAGGATTTTTTTCTTAAACCACAGAACTTGAATACACAAGGGAACCAGAATTCACAAAGTCCTATGCAACCCTAGACAGGAGGAGGTTAGAGAGTCTGTCTTGAGTGATGATTTCAGAGACCCTGGAGAAATTTGTACCAGTTTGTATTAATGTCAGTACTACCAGCACTTTGCCAAAACTAAGGATGTCAGAGGGACCTGTTTCTAGAGTGAGTCTCCATTACATCAAAGGGCAATTTCCAGCTTTCTCCAATAAGTCTGAGTGGTTCTCTTGAGCTGGTGTCACTTTCTAACCTTTGCCAGTCTAGCCCCAGTAGGGCACTGTGTGTGTGAGTGCAGTTTGGTGCTGTTTTGGAGTATGCCTGCTCCCCAGCCTGGAACCCTCTGATCAACTTGCTGTGACCTATAATGTCTTAGGTGCAACAAGGACCCTACCAGAGCTCCTGGGCGGCTTTCAAGATCCATGTAGCTTTGTGTGAGGGGACTGAATGCAGACAAACCACAGCCTGCTCTAATAACTTCTTACCCTACCACCTAGTTCCAAATGGAACCAACAAGTTGAGTGCATCTTTGTTGGGTGTTTGTGTTGAGACTGGCTGAAATGAAAAATCTTTGACTGACCATGTTGTGATGTGTCGACAGACTCAAGGACACAACCACCTCGACCTGGTCATGTGGCATGCCTGTGTATGTGTGTAACAGGATTCTGAATGTTAGATTGTAATGCTATTCCTGTATGGGAGAAAAAATAATATAAACAAATAAAAATCTATTTAAAGCACAT